TGCCTCATTTTGTACGTTGCTTCAGGCAAAAGTGATGAATGAATAAATGTAAACAGATGTAAACAAGGAGCGGAGGCCACATATTTAACAAAAGGCTGTGTATCTGCTTCTTCTCTCCTTCCAATTGCAGCAGAAATCAAACCAAGGTGACTCACGTGCGTTCTGGAAGCCCGTCCTCATGCGCTTGTACAGCTTGCACCTCCACTCCCAGGCCCTCAGCTGCTTGTCCTTGTGGCAGGCCTCCAGAGAGAGGCCGTCCCTCTGAGCCTGAGCCGTCAGGTCTGCCGCCCGCTGCTCCGCCTCCACCACCAGGGAGCTCAGGTGGGCCTCCCGACTCTCCACACTCACAACTACGACACAGAACACACAGACACACAACCAGGAGCCCATTAGACCGAGGGTTTCAGCCTTCTCTGCAGTCTGGACTCACTGATGCACTTAAACTGGATTCTCCAGGACTTCTGTATTGTGGTGGTGGAACCAACCCTGGCACCAGTAACACAAACACACATAACAATCCAACTGTTCCCAGAGGGATTTTTTTCCTGGGAAGTGGGAGCAGACTGTGGAGAAGCCCTGGAATCTCACTTCCCAGCATTCTGCCCCAATTGTCATTATTTCCATTCTTATGTAGTCAAATGCATCTCAGCTGTCTCTTCACTGAGGACTACAGCAACTGGAAAACAAGGCTGAGTCGTATAAAAGGACATGTTAGGTACCAGCTGGTTTCAACTCTTCCTGGAAACAAACGGATGTTTGCAAGCAGTTAAAAAGAGAAAGTGACAACTCAAGACAGGTCTGAAGTCTGTGTGTGTTCCTGCACATTTGTCACGGTGAAACGTCCATTCTGCTGCCAGCTCCTCCAAACACTGCTGCCTTACTGCACGCTCGCTCACTCGCCTGCCGCTCCAGCTCTTAGTCATGGACCGTGACAGCAGCACAAACAAACAAACAGCGCACACAAGAACACCCTCATTCACATACCGCTACGTGTGTGTGGCTGCTAAATATCTCCACCTCAGCTCGGCCTGTAGCCTGCTGCACACAGACAGCTAAAATCTTCACTGTCTGGACGTTCCAGACTTTTTGTGACTCATTTGAGGATTTGTTCTCGGAGCTGTCAGGCAGAAATAAAACATGAGGCTGAAAATGAGGCCAAAGGACTGAGAACAAAAATGCATGAGAGACCTGAAACAAGCACAGGCTGTACACACGCTTCAGTGTTTTCTGTTGTTTTGAAGCGGTGTGTTTTGTGACGACAATCATTGCTGATGTTAATTCTCTAAAGAGTGTGTTTGCTGAGCTGCGACTGTGGCAGACCATGTGCTTGAGATAATGAGCATGTGTAACGTGAGATGTCCTGAATTGGTGCAGTTGTCTGCAGATGGACAGCCAACGTGAACAGAGCTGACTGCCAGCGCCAGTGACACCAGATATGGTCGACTGGTGTAATATAGAGTGATGCTGTTAGGAGGCTTTAATGACCACAGTGGGAAAAAGGTGTCATTTCCTGTTTGATCAGTCTGTCCACGCGTGGCTAATTGAAAAGGTTGTAAGTTAACAGGCCACAGTGTGTGAGAAGGAGCCGCCTCGCACAGAAACACCTTGTCTGACTGAAGGGACGAGAGGGCTCTAAATATAGACCGACACCCCTGCAGGGGCCCGAGGGGCCTCATAAATTAACACACAGGCAACGCAGGTGAGCTCAGGGACACACATTAACACACACACACAGAAAACACTGACATACAAAGTCATTACAGAGACATTTACACAAGTGACAAAGAGCATTTACTCAGTTTACTCAGAGCAGATCCAGTGAAATACTGCACTTCAGTTACTGTTTACATTTAAGAGAAAACAGAGGAGGAGTTGTGGCTGTCACTTAAAAAATTGTTTTAACAACTGAGAAGGAACAGTGTTTGTTGTGTGGCCCGGCGTTGCTCTGTTCACTCATGGTGCATTCACTGCCCCGCTTCGCCTGTTGCACTTCAACATGTTTGAAAATTCTTAACAGCAGCAAGAGTTCCTCTTCAGCTGACACATTCAAATATGGTTTACTGTGTGAAAATATGAAGTAAAGCGAGGAAACAAATGTTCTGAATGTCAAAACGCTGATTTAAGATTATGTGAAAAAGTCAGAAGTATGAGATACTACGATGAATATCCAACTGACCGAGATCACAGATCAGTGCCTTAGAAAGTCCTGGTGAAAGAAGTGTGAGCTCCCGTCACCGCTGTCCTGTTGTGCCACCATAGCCAGTCACCGTTTAGATTCAGTAAATACAAAGTCATAACTCTGCCTTCCTCACAGTCCTCACCTCCAGGCTGTAGTAGTTTTCCATGATTTATTAGTCACTACTTATTTATTTAGTCATTTGACGTCTCACTGTAAGCCTACGCAAAACACCTTCTAAGAACTACTGCAAAGAAATCTGTCATTAAAATGGAGTGGCGTTTAGTCCCTGTTTTGTTTTGGCCTCTGAACTTGTAGATGCATTGATTCTCTCTTAAAGTCACTGTTTTGAATTTGTTTTCTAGTAAAGAACTTTGTAACTGCCTCCGTGTGCAGACTGTGCCATATGAATCTGATAGCACTGCCTTAGTTGTAATGGAGTATTTTCACACAGTATTGTACACATTGTCACACTGTATTTGTAGTTTTACTCTAAAAATACTAAGTGTGCATGCACTCTTGGATGGAAACTGACCCGGCTACATGCGTGTGAGCTCACGGTGGACCACGAGCGCACAGCGACACGGGGCTGCCGCGCCCCGGCTGACTGATTTACTTGGCACTTGAGGAATGACACAAACAGAGAGCAGCAGGCTCCAGAAGGGAAAACAGCAGCAGTGTTGACTCTGTGTTTGTTTACAAGGATGGGATTGTACCGCCGCCCAGAGTTCAGGCTGCTGTTTGGAGAGCTCTCGCCACGCCAGCCCATGGCACAATAAATCACTTAGCTGTAATTGCCCCGACGTTACATGCATCATTGGAAAAGTTAAACCATTAAACGACAAACCTTGTTAAAGCAGTGCAGTGGGAGTCGCGCAGGAGGCCCCGCTCACTGTAAAGTGGCCACTGTTTCACCCCACACACACACGGGCAGACAGTGGGGGCTGACGGGGGGTCGCTGGGAAGAACCACCTGTCTTTTGAGAGTCTATGGAGGACAGCAAGGGGACTGATGGGGGGGAACCCGTGTGTGGCAGGATAGGGGGCTCATTCAGGACTAGGTAGAGGAGACCCAGACTGGGCAGCAGACACAAACACAGGCCCTGTCTGGTTCACAGCATCAGTCACACTGCACGGGGAGCTCGCGCACACACACACACACACACACACACACACACACACACACACACACACACACACACACACACACACACACACACACACACACCCTATACTGCATACAGATGTCAATTTATTAGGAACACCCAGCTCAAACTAAGTCAGTCTGATCCAGCTGTGTTGCAGTAAATCCTCTTTCATCAGCTTGATCCTCCCAGAAAGATAAAACAGCTTGAGGGAGCTGAAACACTTACACTTCGAGTTCTTTGTACTATTTAGTCACTAGTTGTTTTAAATGTATGGGGCAGCTCTACTGTTTTCAGTTCAGTTCCGCTGGCTGAACGGGACCTGTGCACATGCTTATTCTGCGTAGACTTGGTGTCAGAGCAGCGATTCTCAACAACCAGCTACTAACACTCACTCAGTTTGCAGCCTGGTCTCAGCTACGTCCTCCCATAGCGATTTTTCCAAATATGCACAATGAATTAGAAAACAAACGAGCTCTGGGACTAGAAACAGGCCGACACGTCTCCCTAGGTTGTGAGATGCCACAGCTCTTTTCTGATCTCAACTCTTCCTTCACTTGGCTCTGTCAGGTTTGCTCGGCCGCTCTGCCTCCCTCACCTTTCCTACTGTCTCTTGCCCATTAACACTAATCACGTTCACCTGTTCCTCACTCCCTTATCACCAGCTGGAGTCACCAGTTTATCATATCGCAGAAACGCGATTTCTCCTCTCTCCTTAGCCTTTCTTAACATTGGCATCAACGCTTTTCTTCTCTTCCTCACAGCCTTGTATATTATTATTCCCTAGCCAGCTACTGTTTTGTGTTCTCCCCATGGACTGTTCCTCCGGACCATGGCTCCACTCTCCCCTCCCAGGCAGGTCAATGCTCAGTCGCCTATCTGTTCCACTATTACCTTCATCTCTCTGTCTCTACCTTCAGTAGCCATCATCACCACCGACCAGCCCAGGAGTGACCCAGCCTACGCAGCTCGGCCCAGCTCTCCCTATTTCCCTCTGTGCATTTTGTTATTTCTCCTCATCACTGTACATAATAAATCACTGCTTGCATTGAAGTCGGCTACCTGGGTCTGCCTCTTTCTCGTTTGCTCATTGACAAGTGGGAACGAAACATAACAAGCTCTTCTCTCCTCCAGCCGAAGTCACAGTAAAGATTACATTCAGGCTAATTTCTCTGCATTTCAGAAAGCTTGTGTAATGATGAAAAGCGTGAAACAAATGAATGTGAAGGCATTTTTTTTTACTTTATGAAGGAAATGTGGGGGCATAAAATGATGGGTTATACTGCTACTTCACCTTGAGATTTTTGGAATTATTCAGGTTTGTAAAACTGTTCAGCAGCATTTCACAAGAAAGTTTTAAAAATCCTCAATACAATATTGTACATGTACTGTCCTCGCCATTAGTAGTCCGTCTTCAAAACTAGACAGTCAGCTTACAGGGTGTAATTCCCCAATAAAACCAAGGTGTGACGTGTCTTGTTATTCACTGACAAATTACTTTATTTGTCTTTTATTTTGTAAACTGCAACAAAACACAAACAACAAACGGAAATTAGCACAACACAGTTTCACTGCTCAACATAGCCTACCGAATTGCCAGCAGTGTTAATAATAGGCTCATAACTATATTAGTTCTAACAAACCTCAACACAGTACACTTCCTCCTCATAATATCTAGAGGACAACTAAACAATACTCACAGACGAATGGTGTCCAAGGCACAACGCTGAGAAGTAGCAGAAACCTTGCAGGCTACCATATCTGACTTAACTTTCTCTCTCAAGTGAACGTCTCTCAAGATTACTGCTGCCGTATAACCCACAGGGGGCAGCACTGCATGACTCACAATAAACAAACCAAATGCACTCAGAGGGCAGAACAGTATAAACATGTTTTACTTCTCCTAATCTTCTCACGAGCCCTCAGCCGAATCATTTAGTCTACAAAAGATCAAGAAAGGTGAAAACTGCAATGGCAAGTTCTGAGAGCCCTATAGGTGATGTGTTCTCCTTGTGTCTGACCAACAGTCCAAAAGCCAAAGAGATTCAGTTGTGAATGATGTTTGACGCTGCAATAAGAGCGTTAAACTGTCAGAGAACAGAAACACAGGAAGAGAAAATATTTTTACTTCACCGTCGGCAGTAACAAGGCCATCGCTCTGATCGGCTCACCTGGAAATTAGGTTCTGGTCTGTCAGACTAAAAGGTCAGAAACCAATTAAGACAGAGGACACAGGTGCTGCTCTGCTCCCACACCATGAGCCACACTGGTGTTGGGGAGCAGCCACGAATGGAGATGGGGCGGTACGACCTGGTCGAAGATTCTGTCCAGTCAACTGTGCTCGAGGCTTCCAGTGTTCACTAAGGGGACCTGGTGGTCAAATGAGTTCACTGCAGGAAACCAGGAACTCGCCACACAGGAACGCAGCTGGGTGACAGCTGAGAGGACAGACCACCACCCAGCAGGGCCGAGTCTCCATAGCCTTGTCAGGTCTCCTCTGTCAGAGGAGGAAACCTCCTCCTTCTAATCCAGATCCCCTCCCCCTCACTGACACCATTGTGTCGTCCTCATGAAGCCATTCAGCGACATAGAGCTGCAGCCATGAACCAGTTCACTGGTAGATAATTAACCGGCAGCTATTTAGAATCAACAGTCACCGACATGTTCTGGTTCCACCTTCTTTAATGTGAGGAGCTGATGCTTTTCTTTGTCAGACATGAGAATCAGATGAGTCTCTGTGGGTCTGCTGGTTGGACACAACAAGACGTGTGGAGACAACACCTTTGGCTCTGGAGAGTCACAATGGGACTTTTTCCCAGAGTCTGACATTCTGGGGATAAACTGATCAATCGGATTATCAGGACAGTGATCAGCTGATTGATCAGTGACCCTGCTGGTTGTGTTTCCACTCAGTCAGTCAGAAGTGTCCTGTCATCCGTCACCTGCTGTACCTCCACTCTGTCCTGTGTGGTGGTTGTCTTACTGGGAGGTGGGAAACGGGTTCAACCCTGCCATGAAAACTGGGTTCTTACTGGACAATGAGTAGACAAGTGAAATAGAAAGGCCTCAGTGCTCCAGCCTCATCATCTCCAGGTATCAGAGATGTAGCATGTTCAACTAACTGACAAACAACCCCATGACGGCCCGCCACCCAGCTGCACTGTACTCACAGTGTGGACTCTCCTTGGCGCCGGCCTTCAGCAGCAGTTTGGCAATGGGCGTGTTGTTGGTCATGATGGCGATGTCGAGTGGTGTCAGGCCCTGGCTGTTGGGGGTGTTCAGGTCTAGCTCCTCAGCTGAGAACTGGTAGAGCAGAATCTGCACCGCATCCAGGTCCTGCTGCTCCACCGCCTCGAAGATACAGTCACCGCCCTGCATCGTCTGAAACAGGAACAGAGCTCACATTTACAAGAGGACACAGGAAGCTGCAGCACAGATATCTGCTGTTATCTGGGCACTGGCTTCTTTAGCACAGGTTTCCACAGCTTGTGTGTTGGTGCAGATTGTTTATCCTGATGTGAAAGTTGTGCAGCAAACTCTTTGCAGACTAAAAAACCAGAGCTTTGTGTAGTTCAGTTCATTTGGTGTAAAGTGAACAAATCTACATATGAACCCAGAGGAGTAATGACATGGTACAGCACGTAGCGACAAGCACGGCTGTGGCTGCGGTGACTGTACACTGTGTTCATGCTCAACGGGATCTCCGGGTCCCATAAGAATCTGGAGGATGGAAACACAAAGTGTCACATTGTCATGGACTCAGTTACGCTTTGGGCTACAACTTGAGGTCAGGTGTTTGTCTACAGCTGACCGTGCACCAGCACCGACAGCCCGTCAGAGTCCGGACACTCTGCAGATATCACTGAACAAAAACCTTCACTGTTCCACAGAAGCAACTGCAAATCCTTTTCTCCATCAGAGAAGTCTGCGTGGAAATGAAGCTGCATTTAGCACAAACCAATCATTCTTATGTAGTGGTCCCTGGTGAGTGCAGTCTGAGTCAAATGCCTATCCACAATGATGTCAGTATAAGACACAGGGAGCACAAAGCTCCACGTACACTCGCACAACAAGAATTATCTGTTTCTCTGTTGGAGTTTCTCTGAGAGGACACGTGTGAGGACAACACACGAGGGGAATTTTGAAACATCAGCTGGATGCGTTCTTTCTGCAGCTGTCACTGGAGCTTCACATCACTCTGAAGAACTGCAGCGAAAAGCTAATGGACAAAATGTACCGTCCAGTATTTTTCTATCAACAGATCATCTCAGGAGCTAATGATTCACTGGAAACACTAACAGCAGGACGAGGGGATACAGAATATTAAAAAGAAAAGAAAACATTATAAAACAACAACAGCAGCACTTATAAACATTTATAAGTTGCTAATAATATTCAGACCCACATCTGTATGAAGCAGTTTTGGTTAATAAGCAGCTTGTTCCACATGTAAACCAACTGTAGAGGCTGATGTTCACACACCAAGGGACACTGCAGACAGAGGTCAGCAGCCCTAAGTGGACTGTCTGCATCTGCTCCCCATCAGACCCAGGCTGCAGCCCAGGGCCGCACCGGTTCCTAACCTGGCCCTGCTGCTCAGGCTCTGTGTAGCTCTCTGCCGGTTTTCACCATGAGAGGAACACCAACCTGTTTGTTCTGATTTCAGATTACACACACAGGCCACCGTGCTCAGAGCCTTTGTTTTCTCCCCGCCTCTCTCTTATACACCCCCCCCTCCCCCGTCTGCCTCTTTCTTTCATGTCTGCTCCTGTGACGGGTCTGTAAATGTCAGCAGGTTGGCACAGAGAGTTCTGGAGAGCTGCAGCTATCAACACACACACACACACACACACACACACACGCACACACACACACACACACACACACACACACACAGTATGATCTAACTATCAACACACACACACACACACACGCACACACACGCACACGCACACACACACACACAGTATGACCTGTAACAGCCGTCACATGCCAAATCTTGGAGACCAAATGTTTCGCAGGGCAACAAGAGGGACGTGACGATGGCAGAGGACAGACAGAGAGGAGGCTGAGAAGTGATGAAGAAGAGAGAGTGCTGCTTCATGGTGAAGCCAGACGCTCTCCCCCAGATGTCCCTGAGCGAGGCACATTACCCTCCTCTTACACCTGATCAATAATCTGTCAGTGAGCAGCTGAAGAGAATCTGCTGCCCAGGAGAGACAGAAGAAGAAACCAAGTCTGCTTTTCATGATAGAACCCTGAAAACAAGGGCTCGAGGCAGAAGCTTCGAGATTGAATCATTGATGTGACAAATGAAGGAACACAGAGTCCGGGCTCTGGAGACGCCGCTGTTAACACAATTAGCAGACACACCAAATGAGACTGCTATTGATCCCTCTGTGTCAGACTCAGCAGCCGGACAGGGTTCCCTTTAACATCTGACCGCAGACGTCTTCTCCACACTTTACATCATACAGTTCAGCTGCTGCCAGTACACAAGCTGTGAACTAGCATGCTCATGTTGCTTAAACGCTGTAAAACCATCACTTCCTGCAGCTGCTTCAGTAAAAGTCTTACTTGGACTTCAGCTTGCTTTTTTCAGTTGCAGTTCTGGCCCATGTAGCAGACTGTGTAGCACGTGGTTAGAAAATCAGAAGCTGAACATTTCTGTACCTTTTATTTCATCAGTGGGTCAGTGTCATACACATGGCCCCAGGGATCTCACTGCAGCCAGACCTCCCCTGCTAAAACACAGCTTAACATGTCCAAGTTTGTGCTGATTTGATTAACTTTAAGGATATGGTCCACATCAAGACAAAAACGGACACAACGCAGGGACATAATTAGCAACTAAAGTATGAGCCACCTCAGTGGATCTGTGGTGCAAATGACCAAACACAACTGTAACTAATCACATGACCAAGACCAGTGGGGATGGATGGAGCCCTGCTCACTCTGGGCAGCTGGTAATGCAGAAGACTGGAGCTGAAACAATTAGTCACTGATCAACACAACATCAACCACCACCAACAATTCTAATAACCAAGTAAATCAGCTGTGAGTATGTACTTCAGGTTACAAGAACCCAGGTAACGCAAGTATGTGAACATGGGCTCAGAGAAACTGTGCAGTGTCAGTATATCACATTTTATACACAAAGATTAGATGACTCAGTACTTTTCTACTACTCAGGATATACAGAGGTTTTGGAGGTTGTTCTGTGAGCTGTGTTCTACAGTAGACAGCGTGAGCAACGATCTTAAAAGACAAACTCGTGTTGGTTTGTTTCTGACTTGATGTGTTTCTCACCTCACTGAGCAATGAATGAAATCCACAACAGCTCCTACTGAATGTCCTGAGTCAAAGTGACAAACTACCGCCTCGTCTTCCTCCTCCCTCTCTCTCTGCAGCAGACTCACCGAGGCTTTGCGGAGTCGGTCCGTCTTGCCGAAGAAATAGGCATCTTCGAAGGAGGAGGTGCTTCCTCTCAGCTTCTCTGACAGGTTTCGATAAAGGCGCTTGGCGGCGTTAGGGGAGGCCGGCCCACCGGGGCACTTCCTGGTCTGGGACAACTGCAGGTTCTGCATCTGCTGGGTCATAACCCCTGGGAGGCGTCTGCTGAGGAGGGGGGAGAGATAAAATCAGAACACTGTTAAGTTCTGTAAACATGAGGCCATATAAACGTGCTGTCACAAAAAAGCTCATGAAGAACTGAAGGTCGAGACAGGACCGTGGTGAGCTGTACAGTAATATTACTGTGAGATCGCTACATCAAGCAAGTTGTAATAGGCTTCGTGAACTGTTAAAATACACGGAAAGAGCAGTAAACTGCAGTTTTAAACACGCATACTGTTGATGCTGAGGGCTTCCTGACAGCTATCACAGAGCCCTGTGGTTGGGCCACTTTGCTTTCACACAACAAAGGAGAGGCACCAGAGTTCACTGGCAAACAGACCGGGACCTCTCTTTCAGGAAATCAGAAATAAATCCAAACTAAAAACACAACATCCCCCTGTAGGTCTGTGACCAGTTGGAGGATCAGCCAGGACGAGCTGAAGGACGTCCGCTGCACTTTGCTGCCAACATGACCAGCAGAGACGGATGAAAGGATGGACGGACATTTCCTCAGCAGCTCTCTCTCTGAGGTTTTATATAAATCACTGAGTATATCAAAGGGGAATGTCGTCACAGCTTTATGACCTGTCAGTGTTCCTGTTTCTCTGCTGCTGAGGATACACCGCTCTGCTGGAACTGATCCTTAGCCTTCGCATTGTCCCAGGAAATTGCTTCAATTTTTCTTTCAGCGCCTACAGTACACGGCCTCCTGTCGCCCCCAGCTCTCACTCATTCTACAGAACTCTCGGACAAATACAGCATCTGTGAAAGGACGCGACTGCCAGAAAGAGACATCTGTGGAGGTTCAGTGTGAGCTTCTGAGCCACAGCGCTGGACAAAAAGTCACCTTCAGGAGAAAGTCCATGAGCTTAGAGCGAGAATGAAAAACAAGGTCAATCAGTAGGTTAATCAGTGACATCCCCAGCTTCAGCGCCATGCAGTGTCCCAGCTGTCAATGGTTTCCCAGGCTCGTGACCAAAAGGACTAGTTTCTACAGCAGCTCGCTTGATTTATACAACTCGAAACATGCGCTACCAGTTATTTTTGTTCATATAAACATAACTTTTCATTGCTTTATATTTTCATACATGACACATTTGTATTCAGTGCAGCCAAAACACAAACAGGCCTCCTCCACTGTAGGAACTTACCGAACCACTGCGCTTGCACACCTTGTCCCAGGTTCTGCTTTTGTTTCCTAATGTATTAACACATGGAAGTACAATGTACGAACATACACACGTTGGTTCAGAGGTACAACAAGGGCCTCAGTGAGATTTGTGCTTGTCCAGTGTGACGGATCTGTGATAAACCGCTCAGGGACAGAACATCCCAGGACTTCACTGCGCTCCACTGCGGGGGTGTGAAGAGGTTAGATTGACAGCTTCCAGCAAAACATGGTCTGATTTCATCTACGTTGCATTTTGTCCTATGTGCTGTGTGTGTCTGGACTGTCTACATGAAGCACATTCTTTGCAGCAGAGCCTTGTCCACACATGCCTCCATCACACACTCACTGTGAAACAGCGCTGTAGCCGTAGCTGCTGCTGCTGGAAACACACTTGCAGTGTCTCGTCAATAACATCAAATGAACACTGCTGCTTCACCTGACTGCTCTGCACTCAGCCCAGCAGGACGTCAGAGTCCACACACCGCTGCTGATTGCTCATGTTTCCTCTGCTCTGTGTTCACGCTGCCTCACGGCCATCGCGGGAGGGTCTACGCTCGATGGCTCTTTATCGAATCTGGTTCCAGCATGAAATTTGCTTGGAATGGATCCAAGACAGTAACAGCTCATATTTAACACAGACTGTTAATAAACTCACCATACAAACTACGACTGGCAAACTACATGGCAATTTAATCCTGCAACCATAAAAACAGGGAGTCAGTGGATTCAACTGTCTACACTGGACAGTAGGCTTCTTTCGGACATGGGGCTTTGGGTAGAGATCACACTGGGTGTCTGCAGGTTGCCCTCCAAGCTCTGTCCTCATCACATCCGTAGCAGAATCACTTTACTACAAAGAAAGCAAAGATGCCAAATGCCTTGGCAGTGCCGCCCAGGATGTTTAATGCTGCTAGGATTTTGTGTCTGGTGGCTGTGCACAAACTGCAAACAAGTTTAACTTCAGCGGTGACCTTTCAAAGCACCACTAACAGGCTGACAGCAGCTTATCACATTGGCCGAAACTGTGGAGTTTCACACACAGTCTCCATATCTCTACTGCAGCATCTTGAAATCTGATATTAAAAGTATGTGTTCATCTTCAGTGTTTTAATCCCTTCAACATCGGGAGAAACATCTGTTGCCATATTTTTGCAGGAAACCATTAATGCAGTGTTTTGTTTTCAATGGTATTTTTCTGTAAGATCGTAAAACATTTTGAGGGCTGGGAGGAAATGAAGAAGTGAAGAAATTAAATTGAAAGTGAACATGGTTATTACCACCACTGATACAAATGATGCATGACTGTAAGTACTGATGACAAGTCGGTGTGAGGAGATACCTAGGCTACTGCTACACGCACAAAAAGAACAAAACATATACACACAAACAGAAGCTATCTAATGCTATGAACAGCCTAGTGAGCTGGAGATAGATGATGGCTGTGGCCGTGGACAGACTACTGAAAGGTGCCGACCAGGCACTGGCTCAGGGGCCCAGGTGGTCAGAGGGCCCCTGAAGCTCGCCTGCAAAATATCCCCGAAAGAAACCAAAGGGGAAAAAAACAAAAACAGTTGAAATGAAACAAATTCACCACAAAGAGATGCAAAATGACAAAAGAGACACGTCCAGCAAAAGATGCTAAGCAACTGCATGGAGGTGAGAAACAAGTGGGGGCTACATGTCATACCCAGGGACCCACTGTCATCAAATGAGTGAAATCACCTGCATGGGTGATTTCAGCATGAAGTCAGATGAAGCCAGCGAACACATCTACACATCGCCTTTCCACTGCACTGTGCTCGAAGCCCCACCCTGTGTGCACACAGCTGGTTCTGCTGATCCCGATTAGTCCTTAGATGACAAAATAAACTGCTTCCATCACACTCTGCCTGCAGACGCAGGTGTGCATGAGCAGAAACCACACAGGATATGAAAAGTAGTCTCAGTAATGTGACAAAAGTGTGTCACATGATATAGAAATAATAACAACATTAACTAATGTGTCATGATCTTTGTGGGTAATTTATGATGTTCACAAATGCACTGTCCAATCCGCAGTTTACAGCTGCAGTAAAACAGGCACTTAAATCAACCCCCACCCTCAGGGCTGGAAAGCAACACAGCCAATTAACTTCAGTACAGCTGTGTGTATGTGTGTGTGTGTGTTTGTGTGTGAGTGAGAGAGAGACACATATCTGGCAGCTGCGCTGATTAAACATAATTGGTTCAGCGTACAAACTGATCCAAATATCAGTCTTTCCACATATCTCGCATGTTTACAGATGAGAGAAACAAAGAGAACAAGAAGTTTTAAATTATTAAAAAGGAACAAATTAGCTTTTACGACTCCTGTGGAACTCGCTGTTCAGTGTGACACTACGCGCAGGCGGAAGTGCACGCACACACGCACACACACACCCCATGGTGAGCATTCTAATTGTCTGACTGTCTCTGGCTGGATTATTCAGGCTTTAATGAAGAAAACACATGAATCTGACCTTGCGCTGCCTGCTTGGCAGGTCACCTTTTACTATAATGTAGTGGAGGCTTACCATAAAGACAAATTATTATTAAAGCCCTTGTTAACTCATCATCACATCTACTAGACTCATAATCATTAACACATAACAAAGCAGTATTAAGCTGATAAACCTGCACACGGGGCATAAAGCATACTGCGCTTATTTTCTACCTGAATCAACTCAGTAAGAGCCTGTGGTACTAGATCTTACTGGTCAGAGCAGTGAAGTACTCACGGAGGAAGTCCCCTGACTTTAACACAATAACTTTTAGTAAATTTTCTTTTGAAGTCCATCATATTGCTACGCTCAAACGGCCAAGCTGGACATACACCATACCTGAAGTCTGGCTGCAGACTTCCATTGGAAGTGCATTAGAAAGAAGTGTTCATTTTGTAGCCAGATTAAGACACCTGCTAAAGGCAGTGTTTTAAGCTTATGTGCTAGCTTCTCCCACCAACAGGACACTGCTCCACTGCAGCACACGGAGGTTTAGCATCACTGAAAACTCAGTAGCTCAGAGTGTTCAACATGATATCTGTGCTAAAGCATCCATAACTTAAATGCCATAGAGAAGTCACAGTTGGCGCTTTTCCATCACGGGAACTTAACGAGCTGTCACATGGAGCTTCCCATACCCTTGACCCGGTGGAACCCCAAGGACTGATGTGGACCATTCCACTTTGCTTTTCCACTCTATCTGTCCCTGTGTTGGTCACTTTCTACATGAGGATGGGGCTGCTCCTTCCAGTCAACGACCTCAATGCTCCTTCATCACACATCCAAATAAATGTGCCAGTAAGAGAGACTGCATGAGCATTTTATATAAACACCTGGTGAACAAGCAGAACACAAACTTGCAGAAATCTAATGCTTTCGCCACTTTGCCTGCAGTCAACTTGCTTAGTACCAGCTCCTGACTAGTGCTGAAATATAGCTCCTGGAACTGACCTCCAGAGTGGGTATGTGATGGATCGTAGGTACCTACAGTGGAAAAGGCTCAAAATGCCTTCACAGCCAGTATGAACACACATTAGTTATACACCCAGTGCGAGTGTGTTGCATGAAGACACACTAGACAACTTCTTAAAGTAAAAACTAATGAGTTGTAGAGTATGATGTGTGAATGGAGGTGACCTGCAGAACAGGTTAAACAGCGGCGAGAGAAGAAGACCTCAGAGATAATGACCGTGGGCAGTACACATCCTCAGAGACAGTCCGGTGGGAGCTGCAGCATGGCTGTCTTACACAAGCAGATACATTACAGCCTGTACCTCTGAGGACAATACCAACAAAAGTAACAGTAGGGATCTAAATAATCTCTAAATACTACAATACCCATGAGCCTTAGCAGCAGCGCTATGGAAGCCAATCAGAGGTGGAGCTTCTCTGACGAATCACTGAACTAACATGTAGCAACGGCAGCTGAATTCATCCAAAAATAACCAGTTCAATCTGAGGTTTTTGACAAAGCTCTGGATTGGATGCCTTTGACCCAAATGCACCATGGGAGCTGTAGTTGACAGCAAAGCTTTTTAATCAAACAACCAGACATTTTCTAACAGTTGTTTGTTGCTTGTAGTTGAGGAACTCCAACACTTGAGCTGGACTTTTACTTTTACTAGCTCCAAACCCACTTTACCCATTTCACACCTGTAAATGTGACCGAATGATCAGGGATGATGTTCATCATGACGTTCTGCGGCAGCTTCAGTGTCGCCTTCTCATGGCCTAAACCTGATCTTTGAGACTTTCGAAAATTGCTGTCTATTATTTCTTTATATCAGGGCACCTCGCTGTGTAACACTGCCAATCGAAAACACGGCCGATCAAAAACACGGCAAGAGCTCAGGTGTGTGTGTGTACGTGTGTGTGTGTGTGTGTCCTCACCTGTCCAGGCTGAGTGAGGATGGAGGGACTCCCGTGTAAAACAGGGGCTTCAGGTCTTTGATCAGAGCATCTCCTGTTGGCCTCTGGTTCCACCTCTGTGCCAACCGTGAGATTTTACTGTCCGACCTGATGCATGCGCGTGCACACACACACACACACGCGCGCACACACACACATAGAAGGAGAGAGGGACACATAAGCACCAGAGAACAAGAAATCCACCACTGGAAATCCACTTTGTCACATCCACAACAGAAAAGAAATCCTCAACAGGTGTTTCCAGATAAAGTCAGAACGAGCGGAAACACGTGTGCATGAACACGGTCAGCAAGTCCTCACACCTTCCATCTACCATCTCCCCGAGTCCAGACTCCAGAAACCACATCTTCACTGTAGCAAACCACAGAATTTCTTCTGTCCCATTACTCCACAACCTCCTCCCTCCGTCTTTGTCTGTGAAAGCATGAATTTCAGCCAGACTTTGGAAAACAAACGTCTCCTGCAGATATTTCTTTTTTCCAAGTAGAACAACAGGGAGTGACAGACACAGCTGCAGTCTGACTTCACGCTAGACTGCAGCAAAAATTCAGCAAAGGAGAGATGAGAATGCGCCGCCCAGCACTCGCACTTATCATATACTGGATCCCAGTGCACCTGAACTGGTCGATAATCCTGCACCAGAACCCACATAAGGACACACTGTACTTTACAAAGAGCAGACAAGACAAGACACCTGTTGGATCAAAACTGAAGCACAGAAGTTGCCTCAGCTGTTGAAGTGCAGTAAAAAAGAGCACTTTTTTTTATTCTGTCATGACTTCTACCTGTCTTAAACTCTGATACTCACTAGGAACCCTGGAGGTAAATGACTCCCAGAGGAAGTACAGCAGGCTGTTTAGCTGCAGGTCCATCCCAGAGTCTGAGCCTCCTGCGCTGGGGTAAATCTCTCTGACTGATGCCTCCTGGCTGCCTCTGGCTCTCCGGAGCTCTGGATCATCTCCAGGGGAGCAGAGACCCCAGCAGCCACCTGATGTGATGCTCAGTCCTGGGTATGTGTGTGTGAGTGAGCACGCGTCTTTATCTGCTCTCTACTACGGAGCTCTGGCTCTGGCTGAGTGTGAACACCTGTTCACCGGCGGACGCATCGCAACGCATCGAGTGGACGCGCTCAGAGCGGAGAGAGCGACTGAGTGGACACAGCGGGAAAAAGAGAGAGAGAGAAGAAGAGAAATAATGAGGCAGGGATGTCTGGGAAGAAGAGCAAATAGCAAGGCACGATGTGAGTACTGGGGAGGAAAGTGAGTGAGTGAAATGCACACACACACTCCCAGTATGTAGACGGAGGAGGGGCGGCAGCAGCTCCAGGCTGAAAAGGCTGAGAACAAAAGGGGAGAGAGCGAGGGGAGCTGACGGTGTGAGGAGGTGAGAGCCTCAGAACAGGAGATTAAATGTACTGATGCTGAAGAGGAAACAGTCACTGCAGCACAAAAACAAAAAGCAATGAAATGCAATGACTGTCAGGATATCACAGTAACCACCTGCTGAATGAGTCTGCGCGGAGGCTGTCACAGGTTGTTGTTCAAACAGCTGGAAGCATCCGAGTCATGGCTACCTGCCACAGAGTTGAAATCAACCAACCAAGTGAATCATTTTCATTTTCACCTTAATCTGCAACCAATATCTTTGCCTTCACTGATCAGTAATTTGAGGACAAAAACAACAATCTTCTGCAGCCAGAGAATGACGACATCTCTTACCAGTGATTCATCTAATATCAACATAGATATGACATTAGGCGAGAGCCGGGGTGTGTTCAGTTTATTTGTCTTTTAAATTTTACATAGAGGAGCATAATACAGTACATGTACAGATTGGTGTACTGGTAAATAAGTATCAGTTGTTTTTATTTTTCTGACTCAATGTCAAAAGAGAAATGTACTGGGAAAACCTGGTGATGCTGTGTAACATGTACAACTGTCTCCCAGTTTAGACAAAAACTACCACTGGAATCCTCCTCTCAGCTCGAGACATCAGAAAGTCATGTATCAGAGCTGCTGTGGTTTGAGCTGCTGCAGCCTCTAGGTGTCACAATGCCCTACTCTTCATCCACACTCATGTTGCTCCGGAGGTTTTTGTCTTTAAACTCTTGTGCTACACCTGCAAACCTTGACACAGCTGCAGCTACATACTGATGACTGACTTCTGGTCAGCTCTCTCATGCCAGCACCTTCCCAAAGTCGCATTGGGGACAATGTCCATCCTTCTCTGTAACTCTGTGAAAGTGACAATAGAATTACACCTGCCGATCAACGGGACAGAAAATGCTGGAACATTTCTCTGAGCGATCATAAACCAAATACAGAACTGCCTTTGGAAACAGGCAGTTTTAATCAGTTTTAAGAGCTTAATGCCAGGTTGGTGGATGGCTCTATTACCAGCTGGAACACAACAGTGAGGTCTCATCGGTTTCCAATGAATGTTA